AAAAAAAAAAAAAAAAAGTTTCTAAACAGCCAAGGACACAACCAATGAGCAAACAGACTACTTACAGAATGGGAGAAAATATCTGCTAGCTGTCAAAGGGCTGATAACTAGAATCTACAAAGAACTCAAGCAAACAACAACAACAACAAAACAACCCCATTAAAAAGTGGGCAAAAGACAAAAAAAACTTTGCAAAGGAAGATTAAAGGCCAACACTTTTAAAAAGGCTCAACAGTTCTAATCATCAAGGAAATGCAAATGAAAAACACTGAGATTTCACCTAACTCCAGTGAGAATGGTGCATATCAAAAATTCCCAAAGTGGGCTCCATGCCCCATGTAGCACAGTAGTTACAGCACCAAGCCACATACACCAAGGCTGGAGGGTTCGAACCTGGCCGAGGCCAGCTAAATAATAACAACTGCAACAAAAAATGGCTGGGCATTGTGGCAGGCACCTATAGTCCCAGGTATTTGGGAGGCTGAGGCAAGAAAACTGCTTAAGCCCAAGAGTTTGAGGTTGCTGTGAGATGTGACACCAGGGCACTCTACCCAGGGCAAAGACTTGAGATTCTGTCTCAAAAAAAAAAAAAAAAAAAAAAAAAATCCCAAAGCAGTAGATGCTGGTGAGGATGTGGAGAGAAAGAAACGCTCTTACACTGTTGGTGAGACTGCAAACTAGTTCAGCTTCTAGGGAAAGTAGTATGAAGATACTTCAAAGAACTAAAAATAGACACACCATTTGATCCAGCAATCCCAGTATTAAGTATTTACCCAAAAGAAGAAAAGCACATTTTATAAAAAAGACACTGGCACTCAAATGTTTATGTAGCAGCGCCTTTTTTTTTTTTGAGACAGTCTCCCTCCGTTGTCCTGGGTAGACTGTTATGGCATCACAACTCAGAGCAATCTCAAACTCTTTGGGCTCAAGAGAGCCTCTTGCCTCAGTCTCCCAAGCAGCTGGCACCACAGGCATGTGCCACCACACCCAGCTAGTTTTTGTATTTTTAGCAGAGACAGGGTCTTGTTCAGGCTGGTCTCAAACTTGTGTGCTCAAGCAATCCACCTGCCTCAGCCTCCCAGAGTGCTAGGATTATGGGTGTCAGCCACTGCACCTGGCCAGCAGCACAATTCACAATCACAAAGATGTAGAAACAACCCAAGTGCCCATCAATACATGACTGGATTAATAAAATGTAATATATGTATACTGTGGAATACTACTTAGCCATGGAAAAAGATGGGGACCTAGTATCTTTGTAACAAACTAGATGAAAATTGGAGACCATTTTTCTAAGTGAATTATGGTAAAATGAAAAAACAGCACATGTACTCAACACTAAATTCACACCATTGGACCAACAGTATGTGCCCACACAAAAGTAAAAGTCAAGGAAATCAAGTAGGTGGGAGGGGAGCTGGGGGATGGGTAAATCCACCCCAAACAGGTACAAAGCATACTTTCTGGGCAAAGGGCACACCTACACCTTTGACTCAAAATGTACAAAAGCAAATTATATAACTGAAACGTGTGTACAACCCACCCCCCCCCATAATATTCTGATACAAACAAAAAAAAAAGAAAACTAACAAGGTGAACAGTAGGACTGCCCCAGCATTCTGCCTAAAGCATGTTTCAAACCATACAGCAAAGAGCGCATTTCAAAGCAGCCATCTAGCTCAGCTGGAGAACTAAAGGACAAAACAAAATTCTGGAATGCTGAAGTGGCTGGAAGTTCTGGGATACAATTTCAAAGCGAAGGAAGTTATGCTGAAAAAGAGCATGGGGTCCCCTTCATACTTTGTCAACTGCTAAAATGTAAGAAAAGTAGCCTGAAATTCCACCAGGTCAGGCAAGGAGAGCTATGAGCTGTAATTCTGTCAGATTTAATACAAGAAGTCAATAAAAATCTTATCAGCCAGAATGGAGAGTCCTCCCTGATCACTAAGGCAGACAGCAGAAAACCTAAAAGGACCACGTAGTAACATATTAGTAGTAAGGTCAAAAGCTTAGATTAGCTTAGAGCAGAAACTAATCTAAACCTGCTATAACAAACTGAAAGCAATTTTCAAATGACCAAACTAATCATAAACCACTAAACTGCCTACCAGGACAAAGCCTAATACTCAAGAAGACACACACACGCACA